TTAACCTAGTGGTTTCTGGTAATTCATCTCCGATAAAAAAAAAAGAAAAAGATGGGAAGCGGGCCTGCTGGCAATTGCTTCCCTTATTACTGGGTTTCCAGACAGTGTGTCATTTAAATATGAGATCAACAAACTACAGCAATTGCAGCCATCTCGGATTGCCAAACTGCAGCTACTCATAATATCCTGCTGAAACATGTGCTCTCCCTGGGGGGTAGTTATGTGATGCATCGGCCCTCTTCACATATGAAACATCATCCAATGTATTAAGGCGTCCAGAGTTAGCTCATGGGTCATTGCCGAGCTCAACATTGGGGGCTACCTGGGAAAGCCATGACTTTAGACCATAGCAACCATATGCTTCCCAAGAAACTAAAAACTTAGCAACTAAAAACGGCAAAAAAACAAGCTGCTGAAGCAAATGACATAGTCCTTGCTACTTCAGCAAATCTCAGGGTTTTTTTTTTTTCTTCTTCTCAAGGATCGTGCAAAACTAAATTTAAAAAAAAGTTGTCTAGTTTACTATTATACTCTAACTATTGTAAGGTATCTTTAAACAGACAAAAATAGATTTTTAATTTGATCCTATACAGAATGGCAAAGGTATGAAATGAAGTAGTAGAAAGTAACAGAGGATAGATAGAACATTACATATGTTCAAAGCCAGAAGGGCGTTAATTCTGTGTTGACGTATATGAGTTAATGCCCTACTGGCTCCAAACCAATGATAAGAGGAAGCAGACTTAGATAGCTCCCACGCATGAAGAAGAAAAAAGAGAGAATAAACTGATAAACTGACAAGATGGGTTGCAGAACAAAGGGGGAAATGGTGGAAAAGGAGATGCAGGCTATTACTATAAAAAAAAGATGGATGGACACTGAGGTAGAAGATTATTTCATCTGGAAATGGCTACAGCAAAAAGAGTTATATTAGATGAAGAAAGAGTCAAGAAGACCCCCCCCCCCCCCCCCCAGATCTATGGGTCGATGATGATTCTTTGAACAAATATTGTATACTTTTTTTGGGGGGGGGGAGTATGGCTTATTAAAAAAAGATTAGGTCATAAATGCTTTGTTGTTTAATGCGGAACCACAAATCAAATATGTTTTTAGCCCTATCAAATTTCTTCTAATGCTTCAACTTTTTCCATACTAGCACGTGTTCTACACTGCAGTCTTTCACGAGCAAACATTACCGGTGTGAAGTGCGAATGTCTGGGATTTCTTCAGACATGGCTCTCAAAGTCTGCACGCACATCTCCATTTTAATGCACATAATCCATTTCTACGAGTTTGAATTAAAGGCTGCATAGTCTGTAACTAGACTCTTTAAATGGGTATAAATACAGATCTGACCTATGTTTTTGCATTACAGAGAGATTAGAGATAATACTTTGATTATACCATCCACCCCCAACTTGAGAAATAACCTGGATATATAGCACATATAGCTTTTTAAATGCCAATAGATTTATGTGGATTTTGAAGCTTTATAATTAAGCGTGTTTAGGGTGTGTCGTATAAAAAATAATCACACTATTTTCAGATAAAAATATAAATCGATTAACTTGGAGTAATTTAACATGTTCCAACAATCTTTAAATGAGTATAAATACAGGTACGTTTTTACATTACAGAGAGATTAGAGATAATACTTTGATAACATCTACCCCAACTTGAGAAATAACCTGGATATATAGCACAAATAGCTTTATAAATGCCAATAGATTCATGCGGTTTTCGAAGCTTTATTATTAAGCGTGTTAAGGGCGTGTCATATAACAAAATAACCACACTATTTTTAGATAAAAATTGAAAGAAAAATCTATTCTCTTTGAATTAATTTAAATGGAGAGACTATGTTCTAACAATCAACATTCCAAAACACAATATCTCTGATGTAAAAAGTAACATCAAATTCAGCAAACAATTATCCAAATAATGTCACTTGATCCCTGCTAGTGCAATTCAATATATAGGGATGTAGTGTGAAACTACGAATTGCATTTTCATCATTCAAAATTGTTTAATACAAGACAACTTACAGGGCTATGAACCTAAGGAGCTATTTCATCAAATTTGGTATTCTAAAATGCTGTTTATTACAAAATCAAATTCTATATAAGGCAATTTGACTGAATTATTTCTGACAAACAGATATGGCAAGTGTTGTCTACTGAAGATATGAACATGTCAAAATAATATGGCAAAATTTCACTTAAATTGTACCATAATGTGAAAGAGGATGTCATTTAAGACACACTTCTGCAAAGATTTCCCCCCAAGAAATGTGTTTGAGACAAATATTAATAAAAGAATGCATAATTTTTTATTTTTTGTTTGTTCTCAGAAAACATAAATTTGCATTCTTTCATCGATATTCGACTTTGAACAAATTTGTTTTGATAAATCCTTGTAGAAATGTGTCTTAAATGACATCTTCTTTCACATTATGATACAATTTAAGTGAATTTTTGCCATCAATTTTTTGGGGCTTCCAATACTTTAGAGGGGCTTTAATCTAAATACAGTCTAATAATTTTCCTTTTGTTCATGATAATATAAGACATTTCCATAAACAGATCAAAATAGACATTTCTTTTATATCTCATTTAATTTCTTCCACGATTTACATAAAAATTCAATAATCTTCATCTAATTATTTCATTACAGAGTTCATAAGAAATGGGGAAGTAAATAATGGAGAAAATTTCCACCCACCATGCAATCTTATACAGGACTCACATTAAAGCACAGCTAAGATTGTAAGTTGTAAACACCGTCACATTGACAGTGAATCTTTACATCTGCAAAACAAGATGTCTAATTAATCAGTTGTATAAAGCAATATCCTATTTACATCCTTCAATATCAAATTTTCAGATACTATTTTGTCGGTCAAAGTCACCTTGTCATCTTTTAGTTCGCTCAAAGAAATGCCTTCAGCTCTGACTCTCTAATCCATTATTCATGAGTATCCTTGAAACATGATCTTTCTCTCTCACTTGTTTGTTTACGTCTATTTGCATTAGATGAACTTCTTCATTTGCCTCATAGAAAACAAACGATATAGAGAACATTCTCAATTAAATCTTGTACTTAGAAAAAGAAATTAGTTTATGACATTGCAGAAAAAGCACCTAAAATCTTATCTCAACATTTATTAGATTCTTATCTTTCTTCTTTTTCTTTTAGTGATATTAGTCACGGTACTCTAAAACAAACCATATGAGATCATTTTTCTTTTCAAGAAATGCAATCAAATTTCAATAAAACTCTGAATACAAAGTGTGTATTCCCATCCTGAACTAGAAATAATTGATTCACAATTTTAATAAAGCCTGCTTTGTATTTAACTCATCCAGAAAACTGTGAAATCCAGCCAGCGTAACAAAAACCGCTGTGCTTTCAGATTTAATAGGATGCATGTACGAAGAGCTCCGATCTGAGCCCAACCGTAGAGTGAGTACTAATACCCCCATGCTCTATGTGACGAGAGTCAGGGGAGTTTGTGTAAACAAACAAGTAGCAAACCGACGACCAACCCTGCCTCATCAACAGACTGGAGTCACATGAATGGAACCTGTTACGCACTATTTGATGGAGACGACAGTGGGTATTTGCTTGATGTTAGAAAGCAAATGTCATAGGAAAGGTTGTCCCCGATCATTATGATCAGATCTGTGTTTCAGCTTAGATGAATTAAAACGTTAATTTGTGGATAATCAGTTTGATGTCTGATTTGAAAATCCATTTCAGTAGATAACCAAATGAAAATTAGGTTGTTATTATGAAACGTGTTAACAATGAAAAAATTAGAATTGCTCCCACAACATCTAATACAAAATTGATGAATGATGCTAATTCACGTATACACACTCAAAGAGCAAGCAAGATGAACTTTCAGAATGCCATTGCCATACTTTGAACCGGCCATTGCGGTTAATCATTCATAAGATAACAGAGGTGCTGGCTTAATCCTAAAAGCAGTATCAAAGGAAACTCCTCTCTATATGTTGCTCCATGGTGATAACAAAAATCAGCTATCTATCTTTCCAAAGCTGTAACTTGTCACATGTTCCCAAGCTCTTGCCTGTCTTAAAAGGTGAAAGGGATTTCCCCTACTCTAATCAGGACTGATATAAATCATTACCCTCAATAAACATCTAGGCTCTGAAGTCAACTGGTCCTGATGATGAAGTGTGTTCCATTGTGTCTGATGCAAGTAAACTTCTTCTTCTTCTTCTTCTTCCCTAACAGTCAGTAAAGGCCATTATCGGATGTATTCTCGTACTGACTAATCCCCATAACAAATTACAAAAATCAAAGACAAATCTGCTGATAACCAATCAGAAGCAAGAATTTGAGTAGATTATAACAAAAACTGTCATTTGTCACTGATGACAAGTTTTGTGAAACGCCCCCAGATCTTTCCAAGGATTATTCTACCTCATCCAGACTTAGGAAAACCAGTTTCATTAAAGACCAGTGAACTTCAAATCTTATATCTTTAAAGTTTAAAGAGGGTGCTTGGTAGAATATCACTCTGGTATGGTACATGGTTATTGATAGGGTGTTTTTCTGTTCCTAATATTGATGGGCTTGAGATACAACCACAATGCAAGGACAATTATCTGCAGAGTACGTGTCAGAGGGGTGTAAATTCACAACATTCAAAACAGAGTTAACACCCTTCTAGCTGTCAACTACTAAAATTGAATAACTCACACTTTTGTAAGAGATCTACACTTAAACAGACAAAAATAGATTTATTTCATATGAAACTATATAGATAGGAGGTGAAATGGCAAAGGTATGAAATGAAGGAGTAGAAAGAAAGAGAGGCTAGAGAGAACATTACATCTGTTATGAAGCCAGAGGGGAAAAAACATTGTTCATTTTAATGAAATTAGCGGAATTCATAAAAACTTAATTACTCTGATTAATCCAGGTCTTCTAATGAAACCAATTACTTGTTTGCGATGGGATTGGTAACTTACGTCATACATGATGTCCGTCCAACCTTCCATGGTGATGCACTGGAACACGGTCAGCATGGCAAGCCCGATGTTATCAAACGTGGTGATGCCATCGTTTGGACCCTCCCACTTCTCTAAACAATCCGTGTTGTTGATACCGACCTCGAGGAGGTCCGTGCACCTGAATCCGTTCCCACACGGATGGGGGTCGTCCATCGCTATTATGGCTGTCAAATTCAGAAGATAATGAAAGAATGAAAGTCATATTTCAAAAATGATATCTTGACCACCGCTCGTCTTTCTATTACACCTTTCTCTTCTCCTTAATACCCCTACTTCATTCTTCTGGCAGACTCAGAGCCAGAAGGCCATTAACCCTTAGTGTAAGAAGACAAGTTAACGCCCTTCTGGTTCTCGCACCCTCTAGTGGTTTTTTGCACCTCCAGCAGGGATTAACATGTCCTCTGACAAGTCGCCTCCATCTATCAGGATTTATTGATGATGAAATGAAGTTTGATCTATATTCATTGAATATTGAAAAGAATAACCCTTTCGGCTATTGTCTTTGGATGCGTTGTGCCAGCAGTACGTTTTCTACTTTGATGCTTTCTTCAATCTGTTCCTTTCGAATGCTAAATTGAATTTTTTTTTGTTATCAAAGCTTCGTTTTTAAGTGTGTTTAGGGCGTGTCATATAACAAATAATCACACTATTTTCAGATAAAACTTTCTATACACCAAAGAATACAATTTCTTTTTTTAATCGCAGAAAAATGTCAAATTGTTTACCCTAGATTTAGGAGAGAGGGAGTATACAACCTAGCCGGCTTCAAATTTATAAATCATGATTCTAGGGGTAAAAGAAATAAACTTACCCCTAACTATTTCCTGTATTCATTTGACAATAATAGGATAGCATTTTCAAAAGTGCGCAACAAATCTACAAACAAAGTTCAGTCACCTTTTTGTCATCAAAACTATGCTTGTACCCCTTTATTTTGACATGTGATTGAACAAGGCTTCAAAAATTCCATGCACGCTCCAGCCACTCACCTGAATGTTAAACATACTATCACCCTCACTCTCTCTCTCTCTCTCTCTCTCTCTCTCTCTCTCTCTCACCTACCTCTGTCTGTCTCTCTCTCTCTCTCCCTCTCTCTCTCTCTCTCTCTCTCTCTTTCTCTCTCTCTCTCTGTGCCATTTAAATAAAGGCTGGGATAGACAGCTAGATGGTGAGAATGGCTAGGGGGTAGTTGTCAAGGAGATAGAAAAGCAATTGCGTGGAAGAAGGAGGAGTGCGAAGCGGGGCTAGGATGGTGTTAAGTGCACAAGGAGGATGTCTTAAAGGGGAACAAGAGGAGCGGAGAGACGTAGGGGTGCTACAGACTGATACATAGCCACTTGGTAGATGGCTGTAGGGGTAAGGAAATCTGGTATATGGGAAGGCTTCTTGAAACAGCTTTATTGCTAAAAAAAAAATCATCAAGAGCAAAATATGGCTATTAATCATTTTCAAGATTGAATTTCTAATCCATAGTGACAACAATATTCTTTTCATATAAGAAAGTATCAAGTTTGCCAAAGGCCATCATTTGATTTTGCCAAATGAAAATTGAGGTAGAAGGCTACCAATAATTTAAATTTGAGATTGATAGCCCTGGAGAAACCATGTTAGCAAGAAAAGCCCTAAATCAGAATGATGAAATAAAGCATGAAATGTTCTCAACAAAACTTTTTTAATAATCGAGTATTGTATCACTCTTAATTGCAAGAGAAAGAGATAAAGACATATAAAAATAAGTACATTAAGAAAAGCACCAAGAGTTACATACAAGTAAAATCAGTGGAAGGCAGGAGATAGCTGATGTTGTATGGAATGTTCTCAAAAAAACCTTTTTTATCAATCAAGTATAATATCACCCTAAATTGCGAGAGGGAAGAGGAGGGGGGAAAGGGGAGAAGAGGAGGGGGGAAAGGGGAGAAAAGAAGCACAGAGAGCTATATACAGGTGAAAGCACCGGAAGACAGGAGATAGCTGAGCTGAGCTGAACTCCCTAGCTTCCTCATGGTGGCAGTATACTTACATGTGTCTTTGAAATAACACGTTTTATGCATATACTCCATGAAGAGCTCCAGACCAATTACAGCATAGATGATGATGACGAAGATGACGAGAAGGGCAATGTGGAGGAGGGGCACCATGGCACGGAAAATGGAATTCAAAACAACTTGTAAACCTTGATTGGAGGAGAAAGAACTCTGGGTTAGTATCAAGATCCTGATAAGAAAACAGATATGAAAGTTGTAACACATTAGGCCTGTCTTCATCAGCTCAAGTTTGCCAAATAACCTGCTATTTTAATGATCCTGATTGCAAATTATCCAGCGAATTTGCGTCTTCATCAGCCCGCAGTTGCAATTAGCGAGATATTTGGTCGAGAAAATATCCTCAGAAATATTGGTCTTGTTTCAGAAATATCCTTCTATTTGGGAAATAGCAGGATAATTTGCACCCGTCCGATCTATTTTGTGATGAGCCTATCGGTCTGGTGGAGACGGGTTATTTGGCATACTCAAGCTGATGAGGACAGGCCTCATTGATAGCAAATGTCTTCTTTCAGGTTTATATATTAACCCATTGCCTATGAGAACCATGTAGTCCCTGTACTAATGTCATGGGTAAGACAGAATTTGGGAATCTATAGGTTAAGTTTTTCTACCATAGGGTAGTTCCATTTAAACCAATGGAAGCAATTCAACAGCATGGTTGTTTATAAACGCCCTACACCATGCAGATACATACAAATACTATAACAAGATCCTCTAAGAAAGGCCTATATATCGTCGCTGTTTTCACGAAGTGACGGTAGTGAAAAAAAATTGCATTCATTTTGCGTGACGATTTTCCTCACTACCGTCACTTCGTGAAAATAGGGACGATATTATGTATAAACAAATTTTTAAAAATGTATGATTTCTATAATACCCCTCAGTTTCAATTAAGTTGTCTTAAGCAAAAGTAGTTGTAATCTGAATTGTGACATGAATATATACTCTTCAAGAAATATTAAAAATGACATCTACGGTACAGTGTGAGATACATGTATGATAAGCCATCGCTTTGAATACACTAACTATACCCCCCACATTTTAAATGATGTTTTTCCAAAAAATGAGCCTAACATGGATGCAAAGGATGTATTTTTGGACCCCTGTCTATTAACAAATGCATTCACACATGCATGCAGAGCCCTTCACAAATATTGATTGCTCCAAATGCATGTACATAGGTGAAAGGAAATCAAATGTCAGCACACATCGAGACGAGGGGCCCCGGCCATCTGACGGTTCACAATGATTAGAAATAACATGGTGCCAGTTAGTTTATATGTTTAAAGGGGATTCCAAGAACAGGATAAACCATGATGGTTGTAAAATACTTTAAGTAGATCTTAAATGACAATGAGAAGTTTATTTTCTAAACTTCTTTTGAAAGTCTAACCATATGAGATCTATCCAGGATTAGAAGAGAAAGATATCTGTTAAAGGTACAATTCACTATTGATGTGAAATGATTAAAAAAGTAGCTCGAAATGGTATGGCTAGCAAGATAATTATCAAATTAAGCACAACATACAATACTTTCTTATAAATAGACTTTGCTGATTATAACATCTTTCATTCCATATTTTCCTTTTGACAATCTAGTAAAACTTCTCAAGTATCATTATTGGAATGCAAGTACATCTTTACCACAGAGAGCAACCATCAGCTTGCCTTTAACTTCCCGATATTTGTTTAATATCTCTAGATACTTTTAAATAATTTCTCTTGCACAAGAGATTTTAACTTTGCGAGAAAACTTTTCATAATATGAGCTAGTACCTTTAACCCTTGTTATTGAAGAGAAATTTAATATAGACTTACTTGGCACCCCTGAAACTAGACGTAGAGGCCTGAATACTCTGAAGGCGCGGAGAGCTTTCACATCAAAATTGGTGTTCTCGACATTTCTTAACGATAAAATTGTACTTATAACCCTGAAAATAAAAGAAGCAACAATTCAGAACGGTCAAGTCTTTCTGGAGATGCATCGCAAAATATGTCTTAAGCCTACACTCTGACATCTATTCTGTGATCTATAATATGATTCTTTTGAAATCTAATCTTGAATGTTTGTACTGAGAAAAAATAAATTTTGCAATAAAAATGAAAACACTTTAATAGTGGATATGCAAAACTACAATTGAATGTTTGCAATATGGTTTCAGTAGAAAATGTATAAAGTATAATCCTTAATAATACGATTGTAATTTGCCAGTCGATTGATACAACCCATCTACAAACTTTAAAATATTGTTATTTAGTCATTTTCTCTCAAAAATACAATGTCAATACAGCATTTCAAAGCATTTCAAAGCCTTTCAAAATATGAAATGAAGAGAGGGAAAAAGTACATTCAGAGTCTCAATAGTATGGATGACAAGTACTGGTAATCATTACTGGTATTGATTCTCTGAGAGAGAGGTATAACAAAGAGGATAAAGATGAAATCTTGGAACCCTTGGTACTGGCTTAATTTATTCCCAGCAGCAAGAAAACAAGAAACCTTCACACTGGAAAGTGATAAAGCATTATCGATTCACCTCCCTAATCCAGAGGCATGTTCTACAACATTCTCCTAGAGTACAAGGGGGGGGGGGGCGGAGAAGACCCAAACCCCCTCCTTCTAACAAATTACTTCCAATTCTAACATAGGTCTTAGCAAGCATTAATTAATTACATATTAATCTTACCCTCAAGAGCTGCTGAATGTAACAACGACAGATACATCTTTGTGAATGTCTTGGTTAATTTGCATGCACACAAATAATCCCTCGCTTTCTTCCCCCCCCCCCCCTTCCTTTCCAAACTCAATAATTGCATTCATGCATTACCCTAGATCTCTCTTTGAGGCTGTTCACACCGGCAGAGATAGCGCACGCTAGACCGCGCTATCTCTGCGGTGGGGAAGGTACAACATCGTTTCGTTCCGCCCAACAGCGAGCCACGGTGACCAAAAACGGCGTGCCACTGGAGCACCTCTTGGGGGTGGTCCACGAGAGATAGCGCAGTCTAGCGCGCGCTAGAAAAAAGGGGGTGCTACGATAGACCGCGCTATCTCATTGCGGTGTGAACAGCCTCTTTGAAACCAAGCATGAGTTGAAACATTGCCAGGAGGAGAGCTAGAGTCAATCAAACAATAGCCTTACCCTACAGCTACGATGAGAAAATCTAATATATTCCATCCGTTCCGTAGATACGCGCCTGGATGGAAGAGAAAGCCTTGGGCACATATCTTTAGCAGAGCCTCTATCAGAAAGATAATGAGGAAGGCATATTCGACGTATTCCTGTAGCGGATAAAAGAAAATGCACAGAAAGAGAAAAACCAATCAAGATTACTTGTGCCAATCGTATGGATGTAGTGGTATTACAGATATGATACATGTAGAAACATACTATTAAAAAAAAGATGCACACTTCATCAGATAGACTTGTTTGTATACACCCAATTATTTCTGTCTTTTCCTGTGGAAATGTCTTCTTTAATCATATGGAAAAGTAAAACAAATCTAATATGAAACATTCATCTTGTCTGCAGAGTTTATAAGACTTCAAGTCAGGTCACAAGAACGAGGTCAAAAGCAAGCTACAACCCCAAATCAAAAATGTTAGATCCCCTTTCGAAAGGGCAGAGGAGTGACAGTATCTACAAAATGCTGTATCTTGGTATTTATATTGCTAGACTAGACTGTATAAAGGGTGCATCGAGCATTTAAAGGCGTTTAATTTTCAGCTTAAAAAATGCTTTTACTCTGATGTTTTCAAATAGAAATTGAACATTTTAGATTTTAGAATACAATGATAAATTAAAACTATATTAAAAAAGTCTCAACATCTTATTTTTTAACTGAAGTGACTCAATTAAAGATAGGAGACCAGACCAAGTTGGTGAATCAACTTGAAAAATAAATTGCTTGAAATCAACCAGATTCATAACTCCTCCTATCACGATAAAAAATAGGAGTTGTCTCAACCTGAATGAACTTTGGCTTTAATTGATTGTGCTCAATTATAACCAATCAATATCTATGACGTAGAAAGAGCAGAGACACCCGAAAGTAAATAGCGTGGTCTCTGACATAAAAAAATAGACATGGATCATATACATTTTCTCTTCAACATTGCAGAAACCTTCAAGTACGATGCTGATTAAGGCATGCCCGGCCGTCAAGGTCACCTTCAATGAGGTATTGATTGAGGACATTATTTAGAAATTATAAGAATTCCTTTTCAGCATTAACCGTCAAGTGTGTATGGCTGCATGATAATAGCATTTTAGTAAAAAAAAATGCGGTACAGAGGTTGCACGTATACCACAGTCACACCGATAAGACCACCGCCGGATCAACAACAGACCATACAAAACATATCATTACAGCGAATGGCCAAGAATTGGTTACTTTGAAATTGATTTGGAGTCGGTTTTGCGGTTTGACTGAAAATATAACGAAATTTGGCAGCAAAAGAAACCATATGCAGAACACATTAGGCATCTATCATATTAATCTATTCAGTGAAAAATGTGGAGTAGCAGCGAGAGTTATCACAAATTAAATCCTTAGATTGACTGTTTTGAGTCACAGGAGAATTAAGTCTCTGTGTGATGCACAAGTGACACCCTTTTGGCTCAAAACAAACCATGTTTAAAAACTACTCCATGTTTTAGAGACCTTTTGATCTATACTGTTCAAGATAACCACTGGATCAACATGTCAAATTTCTCTGATGTTACATCTCTGCATGTACCTCACAAATCTAACCTCAATATATAACATTGCTTACTGAACAATACTGGTACTCTTTCAAAAACAGATGAAATAAATATCATCAAAAACCCACTAACTTTGATGTGGGAGTTTGGATTCAGGAGGATTGAAAATCGGACAGTGCTAGACATGTGATGCAACCCAACAGTGTATTTTTAGACATCTTTGTTTTGATTAAAAGTGAAATTCAGATTTCTATTGCAGTCTTTCCGTTGTTGACTTCAGTTGCCAGATCTTGTGGGCACCTTGCTATGAATACATGAATAAAGCAAAGGGTAAATTTACTTTGAAAGTAGGAGAGTTCATTCTTCTTGGAGTGGAAATGTCTCTGTTCCCTCTTCATACTTCAACAAAAAGGATTTGTTTTTTCATTTTCAACCTTCAACTCAAACAGGTACATCATTCTATTTTCTAGATTATTGAACAGGACAAGTTACACCATTTATATTTTTAGCTTATTTCACAAGAGAACAATAACAACAACGCTTGAATTAAGCTCTGCCACCCATAAATTCCCGTCATTCGATCTGCACTCCGTGACTTCCTGTTTGTGTCACTTTCACCTTGATCATTTCTCCTGTTCCATCTCTCTCTTCTCATTTTCTCTTTTCCTTTCTCTGCTTCCTCTTATTGCATCTAACCTTTTTTTTTAAATCCCTTTTTCTAATTTTTTGTTTGATCCCTTTCTCCTCTCAGTTGATAACTGTGAGGATTCCCTAATTTTTACTCTTTCTTCTTTTTTCTCATTACACTTTCTGTTGCTCCATTTGTCTTTCTGTGTCACCCCCCACCCACTTTCTTCCCCTTTCTCTCTCCCCTTGTATATCTATCTATCTATCTGTATGTCTGTCTGTCTGTCTGTATGTCTCTCTCTCTCTCTCTCTCTCTCTCTCTCTCTGTCTTTGTCTTGCTCTCTCTCTTTTACTATATATCTATCTATCTCAAACATAAAATTCCATATATTTACCTTACGTATATCTATACAATACATATGGGTCAATCCTCTGAATAGATATCAATGATAGGTTATTACTTTTCTCTCATCATTTCTCTATCTTTATGCTACAAACTAAGAAATCACAACAAAATCACAACAAAAAAACAACTTCAATAGGCTTGTGCATCACCTATTGAAACGTGCTAACGTGACAATGACGCATTACATTATCCTAACATGATTTCTACGGGATATACAATAGGGGATTGAAAATGCCCTTCAGTTGATTTATTGGAAAATAAATGTGATCATGTTATTTGTAATTATGCCTTTATGCCCAACACATAATGAAGTATCCCAATTTGTGAACAATTTCATCAAAGCCTAGCAACAAAAAAGTCTAGCATATTTCAACCATAAGTTAAATTACTGTAATCAATTAGCCCAGATATGAAATATATACATGAATTGTCACTACATCAGACAAAGTTATAAGTGCTAAGGCTGACACGATGGTAGTAGAGGCAACATCAAACACATTTGTGAACTGGTATATTTATTTGATCAACTTTAAACCGAATCAACAATGAAATGGGCCATATTTATTGCCAATCACCATCAGACGTTTCATGGACCATGCAGTGCGACAAATAACGCTTCAAAACAACCCTGCTTAAGTATCGTCTGAAGCATTTCAAGCAGAAAGGCATTAAGCATCCCAAGAGAGTTATTTCTTAAGGCAACTATCTTCTAATGCGAGTCGAACTTTGCACAACATATACTATAGCATTGCAAGTGATGTGGTGTACACACACGCACACACCGGCATTCTTTACATGATGGATGGACGACTCTGCCATGCTTTACAAGTAAAGAGCCTCCCTCAAGCCTACACATGCATACAAATGGAGAGTATCTGGTTGTCATGGAAACCCGGTATTAAGATGCAGAGGACTGCCTGCTTCAGGTTTGCAAGAAGCTAGAATATATAAGTGGAATATGCTATTGTGGTGTAATTAGATTGGCAGAAATCTGGCTCCTTTTCATTTCAGAGCTGTCAATTTCTCTATGCTTTAGGTCAGAATGAATGAGTATACTTTAAAGCCACACGTGCAGAGTGTGCACTACATCGAGTACCTGTATTGCTAAACACATTACTTTGCCAATCAAACATGATGTTTTGACGGAAAACATTTTAAATTTTACTTCAAAGGTTAATACACTGGGTGTTATAGATGCTGTACAACAATACTGATGTTTCCACCAATACCACTGGTTGAAAGAGTGAATACACTCTTATTCACTGTCAAAAAATATGTTACATTACGATTCTTTTAAAAGAAAAGGGTATGCTAGAAATATCATTTACCTATCCAAGGGCTAAAACAATGAAATACATATATGCAACTGTCTTTACGTGTTTTTTTTAAGAAGACATTTACACACCATCAAACATGCATTTCAAGCAAATAACTCATTGAAAAGTAAGTAATAAATTGTAAAATATTGGAAAATTTAGCTTGACAAAAGTTTCTATATACACCTGCGGGTAAATAAATGAAGGGTGAAATTAGGATCCTTGTCATGATTATATTTATATAGGCACATTTAGATATCAAACAAAACATATCAATTATAAACTTTATACAATGAAATAAAATCATAGTAGCTGAGAGTATTTACATCATCTGCTAATAGTCAGAAAGATGCTTATTAATTATATGTAAAATGATATCAAGTTACGCCCTTCCGGCTTTCAGCAGAAATTTCAATGAGAAATTGAGTAGGTGGTAAGGATGTATGGAGTAAAGCGTCACCGTGAATTTTGCATAAGTATCTCTAAAAGCATTATTAAAGCATGTTATGTCATTAGATGACCTTTATTCTAATGCAAATCAAGCTACATCCATGTAGAAATGAAGTGTGTCATTTCATCTAGCTAGCCATATACCGATTTACTGCCTATGTGAGTAGAATTGATTGTCTCAAGTGGACTAGAGTTTTAATCCTGTGAATGTATTGATCTCACTTTCATTACAAACCCGACGACTGGCCATTGGGAAAGAAAAACCTGGCACACTTTCAAGAGGAGAGTGTTTTCCATTCCTAAATCTATTTATTGCAGGATTAGTAAGTTACCCGGTAATCAGAAGGGGAGAATATTATCCGTTCAAAGCCGGAATATATAATTTAAAGTTGTTCTGGCTCCAAACAGATGAAAAAGAGAGCATTACAGCTGAATCTTCTTTTAATATGGTGAAGTGCCTATGTTTAAGCACACAACCAACCTCCCTCTGGCATGTTCAATTACAAATTGAACATTCCTTTCATAATACATCTCAAAGAGCAATTCCATCAATTCCTTATGCTTTTTCATCACCATAACTTTGAAAAACTGAAGATTCACCAACATCTGTTTTACAGACTATTTCCATTTAACAATAGCAAGAAGACATCTCTACATCTACACAACTCTACATCTACACTTATCAAACTGTTCAAATTCTCATCACATGCAGGTTTTACACAACGCAAGACACAACCATTCTTTACAAAACCATCAAATTTAAGTTGACAATATTTACTTCTTGATTTCCTAAGCATTACTTCCCTTTTCCAAATGATGAACGACTATGCCATTATTGCTATTCTATCTGATCTCCCTTGGGTATGATTCCTAGCAACCAATCAGTCACTCTTTGAATCTCAACAGTGAAAAAGATAACACCTGAACCACAAATGCAATCACTTTATCCATACGTGGAAGTCTGTCCGCATAATGAGTGAAATAAACCTCTCGACCATTTCCGCAAAAAGAGGGTGATAATCACATTAAGATTTTACATTTGTTTTAAAAAAGCTTTGCATTTATCATTTCTCAGAAACGTGATTCTGGCTCATTCTCACACATTCAAAACACAATTTTTTCGGCATTTCAATATACCCATATCTAAAGATGTTTGAAAACAGGCTTGCGTTTATCACCATGCAAATTTGCCTGAAACATGTCAGAAAACGCTCATTCTAGGCCAGAAAAGGGATGATAAACACACCATATAATAAGTCAAAACAAGACAAAACAAGAACTTGCATACCGAATATTCATTCACACATATAGCACAAAACAGTATGACTGTTCCATAACAGTACAGCATCATGGATCCCAAACTGTCTTCAGCTACCTACATAATCAGTTTAGCGATGAAGTGGGCGAGCATTAATAGTAGTTGCATTAGGCGATCAATGTGAATTAAACAGCCAATGCGAATAATACTTGTATGATATATTGATTGTATCATTTAGCATTCTTTCTGCCAAAGCTAGCTTGCTCATCAACTGAGACAGGCTTATTAGAGCAATTTTATCTACCACTACCCCCACTCCTAATGTTACAAAATGACTCATCAGACATCAGTCGTCATATATGAATCCATTTTTTAATTACAGTTTGCACACACTGTATGGAGCATGTACTGTATGAATAGATACAGCTAACAATCTCAGTATCTCCATTTCTCTATTTTTAATGTACTTATTGTTTGTTTATTTGTTATTATTAAACTGTAAAAAATGTATGTATACAATCTTGCATACATCTTTAACTGTATTCAATTCCCTCTGTATTCCCTTACAATCATTAACTCAATCAAGTAAAAATCAAGGAAATCATTTCTTTCTTTTTTTCAGTCAAGATTTAATTTCAAGGATGCTGCATAGCCAAAAAGTGCAAATGTAATTAGGGAACCTCCTTCTCTATAATTGGCTATCAGATTTCAGCCTGGCCCGAATCAAGAGATACTTGGGCGACAGTTTGATTTGAATAATTCATGTCACATAGCGAACTGATTGAAAATTCAGAGCACTTGCTGTAATACAGGATAGCACTGTGTGATATTGGGGTGTGTCTTTAAAGTCAGCATCAAATTGAGGTTTTTTTGGAGTCCCAGGGTTGATGACTTTCCTCATTTCTGGCTTGGGATCGAGGTAATGAATTGCATCTTGAAATGTCTGGGGGTAAAATGGCTTGAAATTTCCTTTAATGCTCGTCACGTTCATGAGCTGCATTATAATAATGAGGTAGATTTATATCATGCATAGATTGAATGCTCTTGAGTTCAATATAACAACATTATTATGTGAACCCTGAAATTCAGAATTTCCCAACGAGTGGTATTATATTTCACCAATGCCGAAGGCTGAGGTGGAAATGTAATTGCACGAGGGAAATTCTGAAAATGGAGGGGAATACATAAATGTCATACTGACAAGCAGTATGGATTCAACATTTGTGACACCAAATTATGGGCATTTAGGATCATATTTCTTGTTGATTTCAAGTCATTCCTCTCGATGAGTTTCATGTAGCCTTACACGTCATATGTGCGAGGCTAAGACAATGCAAACAATAGGTACGCTCAGAATAGAGTGGTGCATATAGTCTAATTCAATTTAGTATGCATTAAACTGTGCAAAAAGGGTTGTTAATACATTGCTTGCTTGTGCACATATTGTTGAGTGTCACATGATAGCTTTTCAGCTCTGTAAAGGCATGTTCAGGTATGACATGGAAAATCCATGGCAAATGTTTATGATGATGTAAGGCGTAATATGCTTCATATTTCTGAATCTTAAAAACAAGGAGCTCAGTGAATACACACAGTCGCAGTTGTCATTTTTTTAAACACCTGTTTTTTTAAAATGCAACCGTTTTTTGCAACTACCGTGGCATATTTGAACAAGCCTTAACAAATACCCTAATTTATGCTGATTATCATTGTTTGGCATATTAGTGTTTTCTTAATTAAGTGTGTAGGCTGGAGAGAAAAAATTAATGTACAGTTATGTCATTCAGAGACTATGATTACATATACAAATAAAACTAATATTAATTTTTAAAAATTGTCATATTAAAAGGAGCCAAGGATCTGCATATTCTGGTATTCTTTCGAGAAATCTTCCATTGCTCTTTCTACTCCAGGCTCCCATTTAAGTCTGTTGAGCATTTCGAGGAGAGTTTGTGGTCTGGTGCTTAAAGCAATGGACATGGATTCTAGTTCAGTCATTTGCAGAACGTGGTATAAGACTTAAAGGTACATTCATCAGTGATACAGGCAAAACTTGTCTTTCAAGGATTGACCTATTTTGTAATGAAAGATTACTTGATAGATAAATTCTCTATATCTATAAATAAAAAGTCAGCAAAGCCTGTTTCTAAGCCCGCATCTGGAGCTATGGCATAATAATTAAAAATTATCATTTCATGGCATTGAACTAGAAGCATATACATATAGGATATGGAGCTGGTACATCTACTATCTTGGCTAGGGTTAATAAAACTTCAACTTTAATAGTTGGTTGGTTGGTTGGTTAGTTTAACTGACTGCTAAGAAAGCATAAATGCTTGTTAGTAAGCGACCAGACGGCCGACGGCTTTAGGTCCTCTCCGAGGGACATGGTAATGAGGATTAATGCCTTACCAAAGGGTACTAGGGCATTGCCTTGGTTTCGAACCCGGGTCACCGGATTACGAGACCACTGCTCTACCAACTGGGCTATCGCGCCTCCTCGATATTCAGATATGTCAAATAAGAGCTTTTAATTCACTGATATCACCAATTATTATGCCTTTTGCCTTCCAGATGCATATTATCACGTGGTTACATTTCCTTAAGCTCACTTATGATACAGGTTCATCCCTTTAACACTGAACCTTTCTGATCCTGCATTCCTTTCCTTCACGTCACCGGAGCGAAGGAACAGAGAACCAGACGTTCGTTGGAGCCCAGGCATGCAAACCAAGGATGAAGAGGGGCATACATGAAATACGATCTCTCACTTGCCATCGTGGTAGCAGGCGTGCCATGCTGCAGAGAGAGCAGAGAGCAGCACGGATGTATGCCGCCGCTGCCGGATGTACCCACCATTCTTCTCCCTTCTCCGTATATCTTCTCCCTGCATCAATGTTTAGTTTGATCTGACAGGGAGGCAGAGAACTCATAAAACCAGTCCCCTTAACCATTGTTTGTGTTTTTATTATCGACAAGCCAAATAAATCTTATCAGAAATCAAGATTAGAGTGAGGTATTTATGAGGTCTAAGTTGACGATGATTGTCTTACTTGAAACTTTCCATATCTCATTGCCGTGTCTCGTGTTACAAGCCCACACATCGGATCAGCTCGTTATGTTTCTGACTGTCTGGTTGCACAATATTTATGTCCATTGCCAATGCTTGACAACATGATCGTCCACAGCATGGCTTATCCTACTTAAATTTCACTTGCCTCATTGCTATTTTTATAGCATTGCAGACTATCGCTACGATTCCATGTAATTTCTTGTTTGCCTTAAAATTTGCAAGATATTTGCAGAGAACAATTATCTATCATAATTTGTGTTTAGATCATCTTAATAAAAAAATAAAAAAATTCTTGAGATAAACACAACAAAGGTTCTTAAAGATAAAGACCAGTCATGGTCATACGATTGCATTGTGAAAGAAACGTTGTGGAATCGATCAGAAAAGGTTGATCATCTAGCATATAAGTAATTGTGTGTACTACAAGGTTCTGGAATCATCAAAGTGATAAGAAATTTGGCCGAGTCTTCGTAAAGTTACAAGCACTGTACACAGAAAGATGTATATGGGACTACGCACACATGCACGTCACATGCGTTTATCTCTCACACACCAATAGATAAACTAATTTACCAAATATATCAATTAGTAGGCGGTTTCCCGGCAAAAAATTTATCATCATGTATTAGTCAAAACATACTCTTTCACATTGGTAATTGGTAATAAGAGCTTCAATTTCATTTTTTGAAATTGGGGCGTTTCCAAAACTGGTCTTTACCTTTAAATTCAGTGTTTTAGGCATGATTTCATATAAATTCATTTTAAATTATCATCATGTATTAGTCAAAACATACTCTTTCACATTGGTAATTGGTAATAAGAGCTTCAATTTCATTTTTTGAAATTGGGGCGTTTCCAAAACTGGTCTTTACCTTTAAATTCAGTGTTTTAGGCATGATTTCATATAAATTCATTTTAAATTTAACATTAATAATCAAGATATTTGATATTTGAATAATATACTGACACAACCATTAATATTTATCAAAGTTATCTTTCAATCAAATCGCTAAGTGCTCCTTTATAGATTTTCAACTATAGATTTACGAAAATAGGGAAAATTGCCCATTATCGAAAGACTAAATAAAATACATAACCAAAAGAAGGTCAACATATTTTTTTTTCCCATATTCAATACCATTACATACAACATTAATAAAAACGAATTAACCCTTAAAAATGGCTCTAATCCAATACCCAACGAGATTGACTCCCGTAAGTAGGCTAACAGTTCTACATCAGCAGTAGATTACATTAACATACTTACAGCTCCGATGTGTATAAAATCACATCTAATTTTGTATTTATTTTGACAATGATATATATGCTTTTCATAACCTTTAAAACATTTTGTCCCTTTTCTTAGTGTATACCGGTAATGAGAATATCTTATCTTTCACACGGACCTTCATTATGTTAAATTGACAAATACTTCAATTAAGCTGGCACAGATAGTACAGCATGCATTGAATGCATAAGGACCAGGCCAAATTTTACTGAGTCAATTGATCATTTTATAGTCAATTGATCATTTTATAGTCACACAGCATTGATTCCCTTCTTAACCTGAAGCCTAATGAAGAGCCCTCTACCATGAATCAATTACTACGACAGCATACCTAACAAAGACCAGCCATATTAGTCTGCCTTGGCTCGACGCCATCATTATCACATCATCAACAGTCCCACCAACATTAATAACGCGACTCATCTTTGGTGTGTGGTTAAGACACGTTTGTGATAGATAGAGCCTGAATCGCTAAGCCCGATGTGGGTTTTGACGTCAGAGTTCGGTCGGGGCAACCCCGCGTCTTAGCAATTGTGTCAAGGACAGACGCAGATGGAAAGCATTCTACAAAGTGCAAATATTGACAAGGAAGTTGCCGAAATGACCTCTGCAAAAATGTCATGCACATGATTCGGAATGGCTTCTCCCTAACCTTAATCTGTTTTCTTTGCTTCAATGAACCAGATGGAGTTTGTCACAACTGACATTTACACTACTTTTCAATATTCATTTTAAAATGCTTAGGACAGCTTATACACAAATTCAGATTTAAATCTATTGGGGCGTTGTTATTTCTTATGGTATTCTCTCATTGTACAAAATGAAACATATGCTTGACAGTTTACATTAATTAGTAATCTAGAGGACATTCTGGTTGGCTTACTTCATCTAACATTGTCTAAATATCCTTCTTTAAAATTCTTTCAAGAGCTTCTTCATTAGGAAATTAAAATCCTGTTGCAATAGAATGTTTATCCTCATTTCTATGTAACAATATTACTACTTATTTGCAAGTATTAAACAAAAATTAACTCTTTTTTTACCACCTAGTTTCCAAAGAAATATTACTTATAGAAATATCGTGAAACAAGTGTTTAATTGTAGTTCTACATTTTGTCATTTATAATGATATTTTAAAAAAGCTCCATAATTAATCAAGCAATGAAGTTGTCTATCAAAAAAAGAAATATATTCTTTGTTCACAACTACTTGATTAAAATTACTTGTTCACAATTACTTGATTGAAATATAAAAAAGGGTGGGCAATAAAAATTGCCTACAGCACCAAAAGGGTTGAGGCATATTTCTGATGTGATAAAACACCAGGCACAAAATGCACTTACTCATGTGTTACATGAATGAAATATCATAGGTTCATTCTACTCTCCGTATTTACATAGCATGAAGCCTGGATATGTGCGCCCCTTTCTCGGCATGCAAAAATGTCTTTGGGCCTCTTACCCCATAGAGAGACAGACATTGTATGCCTTCCTGGATCGAGTATGACGAGATAATCTCAGTTTATGTCTTGCTCTTTGGTATTTACAAGCATGGTTACTCCTACGTATGCTTTACTGTCAGATATCATTCTACTCAAGCACGGTTGCATGTCGGTAGTAGCATCTTCGTACAACAATCTTTCAAGGATTTTTATTTCATCAAATCATGTTGGCACACTCAGAGGAGCTCAGACATGTAGGTGAATACAAATCATTCATCAAGTTCTCTATCCATGATCTGCTTGTGTTTGACTTTCTTTCTCCCTCTAAAATTTTTTTTTTTTCTCATGCTATATAGCTCAGATTTTCACATGATTCACTGTTCAACTCGTGTTCTATTTGGCTATGACTTTCTTTTTTCCTTCTTTCTCTTTCTTCTCCCCTATTTTTCTCTGAATATCTCTATACCTCTTCATTCTTCTTGGTATGTCTGCATCTCTCTCTCTCTCTCTCTCTCTCACTTCATATATGTCTTTTATTCTTCCTGTCTAATTCTTGGATATCCTCACAGAAACAGTACATATTTTGTTGCTCTCTCTCTCTCTCTCTCTCTCTCTCTCTCTCTCTCTCTCTCTCTCTCTCTCTCCTCCTCCTCCTCCTCCTCCTCCTCCTCCTCCTCCTCCTCCTCCTCCTCCTCCTCCTCCTCCTCCTCCTCCTCCTCCTCCTCCTCCTCCTCCTCCTCCTCCTCCTCCTCCTCCTCCTCCTCCTCCTCCTCCTCCTCCTCCTCCTCCTCCTCCTCCTCCTCCTCCTCCTCCTCCTCCTCCTCCCCCTATCTCTCTCATGCTCTGTCGTCCATTTCTATCTACTTATCCCTATCTCCATCTCTGTCTTTTCCCTCAATTTCGATATTCTTCTTTTCCCCGAGCTGTCACTCCAATTTCTCAGATTTCCCCTGGGAGCAAGGAATATCTAGTAGAAAAACTTTCTGGGTAAAAAGCCAATTAGCACAACATCTCCATCAATACACTTACACACTGGGGGTCAGTCTTTATATCCTTTCAATGCAGTGACCACTTTGAAGTGGCCTTCTGTACAGTAAGCCTATACCTATCGCCGAGCAAATATGAATTGACTGTTCACCGAAAATGTTGATAAAGAAAACCTTTACTGGAAATAGATACATATCACGTTGCACATACAATAGGGGAATAATCGAATTATCTGTTTAAAGATTTGGCAAGTAAGTTCACATCTTTGTTAGACAGACAGTCTACAAGACCATGAATTATTATCAAGGTTAAAAAAATGGAGGATTACTTTTGTTTTCTATTCAGAAGATGAATGTTAATATCATGCTTCTAAATTGAAAGATGTTGATTTTTTTGCTTCGCTTGGAAAAGAGGAAAACTTATTGCAAGTGAAAAGGCAAAGGTGCTATTATGCACAATTTATAGAATAAAATTGTTTACAAATGTTGCAATATACTCCAAGGAGACAGGCTATATTTCATATATAGATCTATGGAGAAAAGGGGAAACCAGTATACTAGGGCTAAATAAATGTCATTACCAGCTCTCAAATAAAACTTCTGCATTATT